TTTTTCTCCTTAATCTGTTCCAATGATACATAAAAACCAAAAAGATATATATTTTCAATTTTAAACAACATTAAAAACACATTTTTTTTAATTTGACGGACCAAATAAAATGGTAGAAAACTAGAAATTATTATGTCTACAGTTCGTTTCCTGATTCATTTTATTAACAATTTAAAAAATTTGACAAAGTGTATTAATTTAATAATAGCTTACTTCTTTATTCAAAAATAAAATAAAATAAGAAGCTAATTTCCCGTCAAAAAAATAATAAGAAAAAGTAGCTTACTTTAGGATTAGACAACTACTCACAAGTACAGACTAAGGGATTATAATTTGTTAGTTTTTTACATGTGTGTATAGATAAATGTTCTAAATCCACAATTAAATATTTGATACTTTTAAAGGTACTATGATTCTTGGTTTAGGGTTTAGAGTTAGGGTTTAGGATTAGTGTTTAGGGTTTAGAATTAGTCTAGGGTTTAGGGTGTTGTATCAAGTTAAAGTATGCAATATCTGGAGAGGTTGCTCAATATATTTGAGGGACCTCCAGACACGATATCGAATCATCTGTTGCTAATTAAGCACAATTTCTCTCAGCATTTTATCTAAAGACCCAAGTGTTTTTTCCTAATATTCTTTTTATAGCTCAATCCATAAATTTGGACAATTTTTCTATGAGATCATAATAACCCCAAACGTTATTACTCTATCATGTAAGCCCATTAAAAATTCTTAAAACAATTAGGCGGGTCATGATTATTAAAACAAAATTTTTTATAATGTAGGCCCATTCATAAATTACATATGGGTCCGGAAAAAAAAAAAAAAAAAAAAAGTCAGTATGAATAGTTTATTTGGTTGGATCAAACGCATCCCATTCGTAGTTTACTTTACTGTATCATAATAATATTTACAATATCATACTACATAAGTAGGAGTTCAAATTAGTTGATTTAATTAATTTATTTGAAAAACTCTATCGTGCTGATACCCCTAGCTTAGTTGGCAAGTGAGTGGTGATTAAGAAACATGTCGTTCGTCAACCAAATATCAATTCCCTCTATTGCCAACTTTGATTTTACATGACCAATATCTACGATTTGGCTAATTTATGTCATCAGATAATTATTTAAAAGAACATAATGTAGAAATCGATTACATAATCCACTTGATAAATAAAACCAAAAGTTGGCTACATCCTCTCAATCCTATTATATTGATAACAATTTTTAATAAAATCATCTGTAAGACAATGGATTAAATTCAAGATTCATATTAGAACAGTTTGAACAACTTGGTTGTGAGTTGTGGTGCATGCTGCTAAAATCTGAACTTGCTTCACCTCTTCCACTACCATGTACGTTCATGGATGCATCCACATGACCAGAACTAGCTGGTCCCATCTAACTAAGCGTATATTTCCCAGGTTGAAACGAACCAATATGACCGGGACCAAAGCTTGAGATATAGTTCCCATTGTAAAATTGATGTGGTAATCCATAATATACAGATGTATCAACATAATTGCCATGGCCATTGCCATTGGCACCATCAAGCTCTTCTGATCCAAATTCTTCATCCTCATCGTCAACCTAAAACGATAAACATATACCAAAATGGGAGTATAGCAGATTAGTAAAAGTTATTGTCACAACATACAAGTAATTATTTTTTTTTCTTTTTTTTTAAAAAAAAAATAATAAAAAATAAAAATTGTTGTACACTAAATGTTTCTTACGGTTTTCTTCTTCTTTTTCCGCGCGCGTTTCTCTGATAGATGCTTATTTCTCTTCGTAAGAGCCCTTCTATTGCCTCATTTGTCAATTGGATTCTTAATCTGATCATCAGGCTTTGCCACACGTTCAAGATGCCTTTGATTATTCTCCTTAGGCCTTAACCTACACCAGCCAAAAGCTCTATTCATGTAGGGGTCACTCCAATCAATAACATCAACATCAACAGTCCTTCGAATACCAATAACTTCTTCGAGAGCAATACGAATTTTGTTATTTTCTTCAAAATACATTGCAAGTGTCTCATCATTGTGCATTGCTCACGTTGAAAGGTATTTGTGCCTCCTTTGAATTTCATTGTTCTGAACTATGCTTACTGAATCCTTAGGATCGTAATACGATACCTTAATGCCCTCATAATCCCTAATGATATCCTTCCTCCACTGATTTAAAATGTACTTTTCTTGGAGTGGGATGCAGTCAATATCTTCAATCTCAATCACCCGAATAATGTGCTAGCACAAGATACCCCAAAACTCAAAAAGCTTGCACGTGCAACTAAATTTGCCTTTTTCTTTAACCACGGAAACCTTAAACGTCCGTCGCATTGCTTTCCATACAGGCTTCGAGATCTTCTTGTTTGCATCATACAAAATCGTTGAACCAATGTTATCCGTTTTTAATACATTGGTGTGCTTTAGCCCTATCACCTCGTCCCTCACCTCCAGAAACTTGTCATTGGTGTACACCTTTCTAAACACCTCATCTACTAGCATTGTGTTGTCATAGTAAAATGGATTACGCTTTGTTTTATAATATAGGTCTTTTTCCCTTTCCACTAAGCCCCCACAATACACATTAAATTGATTCATGAATTGCATCAACCTAGTATTCAAACACACATATACTTTTACACCACGGTTCGTGCTTTTATTACATTGCGTTGATGACATTCCAACCCAAAATACCCTACGCCAATAGACAAGAGCCCACTGATGCCTATTAGCATATGCGTCACTTAACCAAATGTTCTTTTGTAATTAACTTGTACTTTATAGCCATAGCCTTCCATGCATCCTCTAACTCTTCTACGCAAAAATTATCGTGGACAACATGATCCAAATCTGCTTCTAGCTCCTTCCATCTCGGTAACTTCCCTAAGTTCCTTGTTGCGCTTTGCTTAATGTAAAATAAACACAGCTCGTGCGGCACATCAGGGAATACTATTTTCACTGCCTTCCATATAGCCTTACACTAGTCAGTCAATATTCCTTTTGGGGGTTGGCCCATACATTGAAGAAATTGTCTAAATACTCATTCGAACAACTCTTCATCCTTATGACTGATTAAGGCAACACCAAAATGGATGGTTGACCCATGATGATTGCAGCCTACAAATGGAGCAAGTGGCATTTTGTACCTATATATTTGATATTGTGAGAATATAAATGTGAAACTTAAATTACATAAATGATTCTCGTTAAAAAATATGATTTTGTAAACAAACATTATGTGATCATGAAACTTTATAATACCTGTTACATAAGAAGGTAGTATCAAATGAGACAACATCACCAAGATCTATGTATATTGCACGACACCTCGCATTAGCTCAAAAAACATTTAGAAGTTTGCCTTCTTGATCCTGTTGGATTGCACTATAAAAATTAGAATCTTCTTCAATCATCTTTTTAAGTGTTGCTCTACGACAAGTGCATCCCCTTGAAATATGATAAGGCCATTGTATGTGAATTGCATTTATCATATCACGCTTGGTGAATGACAAGTTCGAAGGTCCCCTTTTCTCAATAACGAACGAATTATAGCTCTTAGCCAAAGTGATGCCAGCCGAATCGTTTAGTACCATTTTGTCAAAACTTTCTTGTTTAATACCTCCATAGTTCACCATGCGCCCGGTACAATCCGGTTGAAGAGGATGATTGTGATCCAAACTGCATTTTGTTATTACAAATCCACCCTCTGACATTCTTCCATCAACATATACCTTACACCCTCTACAAGGATCTTTCTTTTTGCATTGGTGCTTTCTAGTTATATATGCTCCTGTCTTTTGCACCCAGCTTACAGTCCATTCTAATACGAGACATCATATGGTACCTAGGCTCCTTTTCCCCAACTCCTCGACGATTAACTCCTCCTACACGGTACTCCTTCACTATTGTATTTGATCTAAAATAAAATTCAAATCCTTTCTCATAAGCGTAGTTATACTGGGGCTGCGGCAGCAACCCTTTCATTGTCTACACCTACATTGCCACTAGTTTGGTTAACGGGAACATGGTCGCCTTGGTCGCCTTTAATAGATGTACTTACATTTTCCTCTGCGACTTCATTAAGATCAGGAATCATAATGTCGTCATCATTCTGACCAACTTGGTTGATTTCATCCAACACATTAATATCAATGTTCACACCTTAACCAATAGTTTGGCCTTTGCTTTGCATTTACTGCAACAATGCCACAATACAATTACATAATTAAAATTTTGATACTCAAAATTAAAGAAATTGTATGTAACATACATTAGAAAAATAAAAGTATATATATAAATGTTATTACTAATATATATGTTTAAGTGACTTAGTGTTACAAGAAATGTCAAATCCTAAAAAATTATAAATCTCTAAACGAACTCCATAATCGGCCAACGCAAGTTCGCATTTACAGACTAACATTGTGTCACAATCCAGAGAGAATGACGACCACACATTTACACAGAGTAAGTCGAATTAATCGTTTGTAATTAAAATTATTAGAATGCGAATATAACCCTAAAAATAAAGTGAAAATCAACAATTAGTGGGAAAAAGGTCGGAATCTTCAATTAATAACATCGAAATCACATTGGTGAAGTGTTTGATATGATACTTACAAAAGTAGAGTTGTCGCAAATTGTGGAGAAAATATGTTGAATGCACTCTTTTTCAATGGTAGCAATAAAGGGAAATAAAGGAAGAAGATGATGTAAGTACGTAGCTTTTCATTGGGGCCCGTTGAAGTTTGGCGCTCAATGAAGAAAGTCCCGCCTAAGACTAACTAGACTCGCCAAAACACTAAAATTATTACCACCCAAGTTTCCCTCCCATTAATTTCCTTCCCTCTTCTTTTTTGTGGGACCTGCTGAGTTGTCAAAATTTTATTTGTAGTATGTAAGATACCTTTGTACATCAAGTATACATAATAATTCTCAAACTTAGATCGAACACTAATAATTGTTATCAAAATTAGCTCAAACTCGAACAAATTAAAACTCGGCTCGGATTGCATCGTTTGCAGCCGTAGGCCCCTAGCCCAAACCCTATATCCATTTTACATGAAATTCTTCCACCAAATAACAAAAACATTTCCCGCTCCTTTTTTCTCTCACCATTAACAGTTCCCGCCAACTCTCTCTCTCTCTCTCTCTCTCTCTCTCTCTGAGTTAGTGAAACCATGAACTCAAGAGATGTTACCTTGATTTCATCAGCTACTGTGATCGGCGCTATCGCATCCGCCATTGTTATACGCTTCTTCTTCAACAACCCTAAGCAACACCGTCGTCAATCTTCCTCCAAATCTCCCAATTCAAATGCTAAACTTTCTTCTCATTCTCCTTTCGATCCTTCCAAGCGCCTAGGGTTTGTTCCATCTTTGATTTGCTTCCGATTTCTAATATGTATAATATGTAATTCTGTTTTATACTTTTTCTGTCAATTGTTATGCTGAATCAGTGAATAGTTGGACTTTGTTCATCATTTTTCTGAATAAATTTGTTGCATTTGATTAGTATTGCTGTTAATATTATTATTAGATTAGTATAATTTTATTGATAATTTTTTCTGATAATTGTGGTTGGATTAGATATATATCTTGGGATGACTATTTTATGGCCATTGCTTTTCTCTCTTCTCAGCGCTCCAAAGATCCTAATCGTCAGGTCTGATCTCTCTCTTTTTCTTTTAATCTGATTTATACTCGAAGATTTTGCATAATTTGTTTTGTGAAATATTTCTGTTAAGTTGATGAATAATTTGCACATAATAATTCCTGTTACTGTTGATTTTGAGTTATGATTTGAAATTATTTACAAATGTGAAGGTAGCCTAGGTAGGTCAATTGGTAGGTCAATTGGTTGTAATTATGTTATTTTGTTGAGTGATCTAGGTTAATGGCTTGTGTTCGGCTTAAATTTGGAAAAAATAAATAAATAAATAAATAAATAAAAGCTGATTAATTTGCTATGCTTGATTAATGATTTGCATTTGCTTTAAAGTGTTATGGCTGACTAATTGGTTATGTTTAAGTAGTAATTCAAATTCGGTTAAAATTGTTAAGATTGACTAATTGGTTATACTTGAGCAATGTTGGTTGGCTTGTCGAATTAAGCTTGATGAAGCTAATTGTGAAAGTTTCAATTTGTTGCTATAGGTTGGTGCTTGCTTGGTCAGCCAGAATGGTGTAATACTTGGTACGATTCCTTGCATAATATCATGATTGGATTAAAAGCGAAATAATAGATTTTGCTATTATTTGGGTTTTGTGGTTGGAACTCATAAGCTACGTGTAATATGCTATCTAGTCAGGCATTGGCTATAATGGATTTCCGCGAGGTTGTTCAGATGACAAGCTTCCATGGGCAAAGGTTAGTCTCTTGATTTGAAGCTAGGTTTAAGAAATTATCTATTCTTTTTAACAAATCTTTCTTGTCATTTCAGAAGTCGAAAAATGAAGACCCTTTGGAGACTAAGTATCCGTGAGTGATGTTCTCTTTGAAACTGTTGAATCTCATTTGCATCTTCACCATCATTGTTTTCCCTTTATTGGGGTTGTGGTATATGTGGTTGTCTCCCGTCCTGAAATATCCATGTTTAGGTATGTTTGTCATGCTGAAGTGAATGCGATTCTCAACACAAACCATGCATCTGCTGCAGGACAGGTAGCTCAACTAGCCTTTTTACCTAAGAAAATTTCAGAGAACACCTGTCTAGTTACTAACAGCAAAATGTATCCCAAGTTTCCATTTCCTACCTAAATGTATGTCATTGCCAACAAGTGTAGCTGATTTGTTTCATTTTATCTCTGCAGAAACTATATGTTACGATGTTCCCATGCAATGAATGTGCTAAAATAATTATTCAGGTAGATGATCCCACTTTTGGTTTTCAACTTTGAAATGTGTTAGTTCTTACATGTAACGCATGACCTTATTTGTTTGGAAGTGTACAACATTGTACTTCCTCTGTTTCTTTTTACTTGCAACACACCTTTTAGGCACGCAGTTTTAGAAGATGATTAGTGAAGGTAAACGAGCGATTTTATCAAAATAATTTTAACATGAGGATTAGAGTAGGGTTAGGTATCATGTGTAAAAGTTACTTTGAATAAATAGTCCGTTTACATTATATAATCCCGGACCTCAAAGTGCATGCCACAAAGTTGTGTTGCAAGTAAATAAAAATGGAAGAAGTAAATGCATTTTGTTGTCCTGGAACCAATTTTTTCACAATTGAAGCAAATGCAAACTCGAGCTACAAAAGTTCAAAAGGTTATTGGCAGTGATGAAAAAAAAAATGCAGGATTTCAGACAAAAATTATGATCTAAAAAGCATGTAGATTTTAATCTTTTCATCGCTATATATCCTTGCTTTGCTGATACCATATTATCTGTTCAGATGTCCTTGTTTGACGACTGATTGTGTCAAAATTTTTGAGCTCCGTGCTTCCTATCTTAAAGATGATATTATCTATGTCACAACCTCGACTACTTTTTAGTTCAGGCACTCCTTATTTAAGCTTTCTCCATTACTGTCTACAGTCAGGAGTTTCTGAAATCATCTACTTTGTGGAGAAGAGGCTTCCAAATTCTGACAAATGTTACATCGCTTCTCACAAACTACTGTCAATGTCTGGTGTAAAGGCAAGCTTCCCTTTCCACTTGAAATGTATAATTTGTGAATGTTATCAACATTTTAAAGACTATTTTCTACAGTCTTTTTCTATTGGTTTCGGTATATGGGCTTGAAGCAATCTTTCTTTTGTTTAAAAATAAACTTCGTTACAATGGCAATGCAATATAAGCTTTACTAAGACAGGGTTTGGGGAGATATAGATCAATGTAGCCTTACACTGAATGAGATAAGGTTCTTAACATGCTGTCATTATATAAATCTAATATACTAGGTGACTAAGATTCTCTGCAATAGCAGAACTAATACTAGGCGTATGTTGTGGTAGTGTGGTTAACTAGAAAACATTTTCAGAATTTTCATACGAAATCTGTTTGGCCTTGAATCCCCTGATCAAACTAACAAGTAGCTATTGGGACTCTATCATTCGAGAATTTTATTGATATTTGCCAACTTGTGAACGTGCTCTTTATTCTTGTATCCACTAGAAAGATTGCACCTGAGAATTGAGTAATAGGATTATATTACGTCAATAAGTCATGATCGAGTTTCTGACTGGTTTTTAGTGCAGGTCAGGAAACATCAGCCACAAATGGACCAGATCAGCATAAAGTTTGAAGAGCCCTAAGGAGTTGCTTGATGTTGTTACTGCATTTGTAGCCTGTTCGTTTAGTTTCAGTGTTATAAAGTTACAACTTGAGCTTTAGCCATCTCGCAGGACAGCTTTTTTTATCTGCTTAACTATTTCTATCAAATTTTACTTTTAACTGGACTATATTTTAGGGTTATTTTTGTGGGAATATTTTTTTTTAAAAAAAAAAAAAAATATATTAACTACGTATATATATACATGTATCGACTGCAATGTAAGCAAATTCAGCTTTGTGCATATCATAGCATGTTCTCCTTCTGCACTTCATCAGGGAACACATGAAACAGACGTGGTAATATTTGGCTGTCCTGATGATTCAGCGTTTTCAGGCATTCACTAGAGCAGTATCAGAACAACCTTTACACTCAAAGCCCTTCTTAAACGCTATGATGTTGGTTAGGCATTTAATTTATCAAGCATTAAGATGACTCGCTCAATCCATTTTAAATTGATCAAGGTAACTTAAACAATAGCCCCCATTTGGTACATAAAGTCTGTTAAACAAGGCAGATACAAAACTGTGTACAGTTACAGCCCTATAGAGAAATTATCTAAATTGTGCTCAAAATCTTTGTACATAACAGTTTATAGCAGCTTTTTGCAACGATTGTATTTAACTCAATTCCAAAAAGTGCTCAACTTCCTATCCGTTTAATTCTAACATCCTTTTCTCATTGTGTAAGCAAAAAATATCTCAAGAATAACCCTATCCGTTAAGGGCCTCAAGCTGTCTACGGAGCTCTTCAAGGTCATCAGTTGAGTCTTGCTCCAATGAGGGTGCATGTTTGTATTCGTCTGCAGCAGGGAGCTCGTGTACTAGACCCTCAGGAAGGGCATCTGAAAGTAATAACATATTAGAAAATGAGTATACATGTATGGAATGCACTGATTGCTGTCAATAATTAGCAAGCATTCAAAAAGAAAAACCACCAAAATTACATCCTTCAATGATTAATAGAAGATTTGACCAAAATTACCTGTGCTTCGAGTTACCGAATCTTCCGGCTCAGCATCATCAGCAACACTGAAAAAAAGAAACATCAGTAAATAAATTAAATATGCTTTTCAAACACTGCCTATACAGTGGATGCTGATTAGTATATTGCAGTCAAGCTGGACCCAAGGCTGTCTCAAGAACAAGAAAAGCGAACAATCCCAATCAGTAGACTGCATCAAAGAAGCCATTACAGTGCTTTCATGAAATGCCATTGTAGAAGTACCTGATATTCCATTCATTATCAGCATGGAGTGGAATTTCCTCGGCAACTGATGCTTCTGCCTCCAACTTGGCTTTGGCTGCAGCATCTCTTGAAGGTTTTGCCAACATGTATTCTTTCTGCATACAGAAGAACAAATCCAGTATAACACCAACAAGCGAAACAAAGTAGTCCCTAAATACCTTGTTCTTGTGTGCAAAATAATTTCATCTCTGATCTTGTACCTGTCTCTCCAGGCAGGCGGTATTTGGACATTGTGTATTTGGTTTCATTTCCATAGTTGGGAAGTAATCTTTCAAAGCATTATAACCCTAAAATCAAGGAGCAAAAGAGATATAGAAGTTACGTGACTAAAGTAGATTCCTTCTGATAACATAAAATGGGTCAAGTTATGTATACAAAAAAAAGAGAGAAAAGGGAAGTTTATTAAGATCTAGAATACCATCGGTATTGAACAGGACTACAAGTATAATGAGGTCAACGAAAACCTTGGAAATGCAAACATAGTCTAGTTATTGAAACATTCAAAACAAACAAGTAATATTGAGAAACAGAGGACAATAGTGCACTATGCTGGAAGTTTAAGGAGATTTACCAAGTATCGTGAAACTTGTCCAAATTGCAGAAGATATTTGAGTGTATTTTGAACAAGAAGTCCAGCAACAACCCCCTACAAGAACAAGTGAACAGAAACATGGAGAGCAAATAAATACAAAAGATTGTTGATTGCCATTATGTTATTTAAGAGGTTGATGTGAGAACATACAATCCTTAAAATGTACCAGCAAAATCTGGATTTTAAAAATGTATTCAATCTAAAAAGACAGCCACTGCGCACAGCTTATATAGTATGAAGGGCGCAGAGCATGATGTAGAACTAGGAGATCAGAGAAGCATAAAATGGTATTCAAACAGTGTATCTTATATTATAATTTAAAGTTGTAAAACAACATAATTAACTACCATTGTAGTTGGGAGAGAAGCTGCACAGACACCTTCACGCTTCAGTGTACGCTCATCAACTCCTGATGCCACAACCTGCAAGGTACCCATAATCTAGTTTATATACCTTCACGTTCAAAGACTAATGTTATTATATTATCACAACTATATATACTATTAGTTGCAAATTGGATTCTTATTTCAAAAAAAAAAAAAAAAAAAAAAAAGGTTGCAAATTGGATGCTGCATGCCTGATGGCATTCAATAAGCCACTGAACCTACCAGGGGAGGAACACATGCAAAGCAAGCTGTTTCTCCTGGGATTAATAATTGTATATGACCAGATACAGCATCCTCAGAAACACCTGCACAGTAAAATCTTCATATGACATTCCCGACATTTATATAAAACTATAACACATATTCTTCATCACCATGTTCACAATATGAAAAAATAATAATAAAATATAAATAAAATAAAATAAAATAAAAGAAGAAGAAAAACTAATTAGCTTTTATAACTAAAAAATTCCAAAATGCATTAATTTTTACATGTATCAAAGGAGTGCCAATTCACAATAGTCACCCTTTGGTAGGGTGTCTTCCATGATCACTCTTGCATTTCTCCATATCTTATAGCTGAAACTATGAGGACAATTATGCTACTCTGAATTCATAAAGCAAAAGATAGTGGAAACTCTAATAATATGCCTCTGTAAATGATGATCGAATAACACCATTACTTGGTTAGTTCTTCCTTTCATTTCTAAGCTTTGGTCTATCATACTCACTAGTGATGCAACTAACTTGTTTCCCTTTGTAGGTCAGCACTGCATAATGATGTATACAACCTCTTCACTAGGTTTACCATTTACGGCCTCTTTAAAGGGTTACAATAATAATGGATTCAGTTGAATGGATAGTTTGACTTAATACCCAAGTATTCTTATTTCTTACATTTCATTAATATCTGTGGACAATATCACATGAACTTTCTAACATCTTATCTGTCATCACACTCATCAGATTGTTATTGGAACAATCCTTCCATTCAGTTGTGATCTCTCCCATATGCTGGTTCTGATAATGTAACCACTATTTTACCTTATGTTAGGTAAGAAACAATACATAATGTTCCAGAAATGCTAACACTTCAAATGAAAGGGAAAAAAACAGTATAACATCCCAGAAACAAAGTAGCAAATAATTCCTTTTTGGCCAAGAATCTAGGTTTATATATTTATTTATTTTTATAAATGTGTAGACCAAAATTATTCATACGAATAGCTGAATGATTATTTTTAAGTGGCATTAGCATCATCCTCAATAAGCAACACCATACACTTTTCCTCAAATTCCAGCTTAAAAACAGGAACTTAAAAGAACCACACTCTTTTCTTCAAATAAAACACAATTTTGCAAACATCAAGCATAAACACCCAAAAAAAAAAGGAAGAAAAAACAGACGACATAATATTAACCCCTATTTGACTCAGCAAAGTCCTAGTAAATAAGAAAAAACCAACTTCGAATTCAGTATTCAATGATATATAGTTAACCATAGTGATAAATTTCACAGGATGGTTAAAATCGGCAAATGTTCAGCTTCACCAACCATTGTGATAAATTTTGTTGCTCCCAAAGAACTAGTATTCTTTGATTCTTCCTTTGTTGAGTTGTGCAGCAGAAATCATAATGATATATGATCGAAGATGCATATGGGAGTGTGTTATTGGTCGTTTTTCAAATCTTGCAGTCCGCTCTCTAGCTAATTTTATTGTTCTTTTATAAACAACTGAAGGGTGTTCTAACAAGTGAAAAACAATAGGGAGAAGAAACAGAAAACATATTTTAATCTAAAACAAAATCTATCAATGAAGAAGAAAGCTTCACATAGGCACAAAAAGCATTAACAATTATGGATCAACAGACCATGCAAGAGGTAGTATTAATAAATCGTGACGCACCTAATCACCATAACTGATTCAAGGAATGATTTAACAAAGGTAACACAAATTAATTTACAAGGAACAATTTAACAAGCACAATGATCATGTTGCTCACCAGACTCCATCCATGTCTGATTCAATTCATTGCATGCCTACAAAACAAAAGTACATTCAAGTCAGGATTTCATATTTAAATTTAACGTATTGAATGCAGGATCCCCATCATCCAACATCAAGCAGCTTAATAAAAATAAAATGGAGTTCATGATGATGACAAAGGCAACCTGATTTACAACCATCCTTGCTTCATAATTGTCTACACAACTCAAAACAAGATCCACCCCACATCCTTCTTTATCTGAGCGAAATGTTTTCTTTTTCAAACTAGACATGAAAGTTTCAAATCCATCCACTGTTGTAATGTTCATTGTATAGCTCTGAAAACAAAGAAGGAAATATTAGCTGAGACTTCAAACAAAGTAAAAATAAAAAATATCAACTAACATATTGAGTTTTGACGCAGTTTAATGAGCGTCACAAGCCACCTTTAAACCATATTTTGAATTTACAACTAATGTACTTATAGACTTATAGACTTAGGGTAATCAGCCCTTGAAATGGTTTTCTCTGAAAAACGATATATTGAAGTACAAATGGCGCATTGTCATACCTAAGAAATCTGCTCTGGCTAAAACTCTTTTAAAAGAGTACCATGACTCCCCAATAGAAGGGCATGCGGGGGAATACAAAACTTACCAGCGGATTGCTGCCGAGTGGTATTGGGTGGGGATGAGGAAGGATATTCTGGAGTATGTAAAAAACTGTACCGTCTGTCAACAGAATAAGGCAGCTACAGTTAGTCCCTTAGGGCTGCTACAGCCCCTTCCGATTCCCGATAAGTTTGGGAGGACATTTCGATGGACTTCGTTGAAGGACTTCCGGTTTCGAGTGGCTGGGATACCGTGTTGGTAGTAGTAGACCAACTATCCAAATATGCCCATTTTGTACTACTGAAGCATCCTTTTACAGCCCTCGGGGTGGCTCAGGCTTTTGTTAAGGAAGTTGTTCGATTGCATGGTGTTCCTAAGTCAATTGTCTCTGACCGAGATAAGGTCTTCTTGAGCAATTTCTGGAATAAAATTTTCAGACTACAAGGCACCCAGCTAGCAAGGAGCACAGCTTACCACCCACAATCCGATGGGCAAACTGAAGTCCTTAATAAGGGGCTCGAATCCTACTTGAGGTGTTTTGTGAATGGTAAGCCGAAGTCATGGTCTTCATGGATCCCGTGGGCAGAGTATTGGTACAATACCTCTTTCCATACCGCTACTCTCCACACACCATTCAAGGTCCTCTATGGGAGAGACCCCCCACATTTGGTTCGATACAATGCAGGCACCACCTAACTCGTCGATTGAAGAGCAGCTTCTGGAAAGAGATGCTACCTTGGATGACCTGAAGTTCCATCTACTTCGGGCTCGGAGTTACATGAGGGAGTATGAGAATAAGAAAAGAAGAGAAGGGCAGTTCGAAAAAGGAGACTGGGTATATCTGAAATTACAGCCTTACAAGCAGCACTCGGTGGGAAAAAGGAGAAACATGAAATTAGCTCTGCGGTACTACGGTCCTTATGAAGTAATCCAGAGGATTGGGAAAGTGGCATATAAGCTCAAACTGCTAGAGGGGGCAAGAATCCACCCGGTTTTCCACATTTCTCAGCTTAAGAAAGCACATGGACAAAACACCACCACAGCCCCCCTGCCAACCCAGCTTACTGCTGACCTAGTACTTGAGGTGGAACCTGAATCAATTCTAGGGGTCAGAAACATTGCCAATGAGCAGCAGCCCAACTCAGAGGTGCTTGTTAAATGGAAGAATTTGCCCGAGTTTGAGGCTACCTGGGATTCCCTCTCTGATTTGGCCAACAGGTTTCCTGATTTCCACCTTGAAGACAAGGTGAAACTTGTTGCGGCGGACATTGCAAGAAATGGGCCAAGGCCTCCAATCGTGGCTACTTACTCAAGACGCAAGAAGCAAGGCTGATGGAGGAATAAGAAGAAATGCTGAGCTGTCACATTCACTGCATTTTATTTAATTGCTTCTAGATTCTGTTTTCAATTCTGTTATTTTGTTGAGGGCTTTGTTAGTCTTTTTGTCATAAAGAATAAAATTCTGTTATGGAGGGGGATGAATGTAAGCAAGAACTCTGTAGAAGGAATAGCAGTATAAATAGGAGTGCATGAATACAACAAGGATCATCCAGAATATTATACAGAAAGCTTAGGCTTGGAGAGAGAACCTTCCTCTCGAAAGAAGGCTGGCTATCTGTATTTATCACTACAATCAAACACTCCATTCCTCTCTCTTTCTCTGTTTCTGCACTTACAGCTTATAATTCTCACCATACACAACTTATAGTTCCATTCTTATAAACCGATTCCTAGCATGGTGATGCAGAAATGATGTAATCTTTGGTAGTCTCGGTACGAGATTCTGAGAGTTGACAAAGGCTTGAGATAGGTTCTAGAGGCTGCTTTAAAGAGACAATGACTACTCTCAAGACAAAAGCCTTAACAAGTATATTCATGATTTAAAAAAGATATAATTCAAAAGTTTGAAAATTGATCTATCAAGGAAGGGAAACCTGAGCCACAATAAGTTTTCTTTAAAGTTGTAGCTGCCAAGGAAATCCTTTTTTATGCTCTTTATTAAGTCAAAAGGGAAAGTTGTAATATAGAAGGATAGAAATTTTTTTTTTTTTTTTTTAAAAATGTAATATATGCCTTTATTCTTGAATTAGTTAAGGGATGGAGGAGGAAGATTTTGGTCGATGACTGCACGGAATAATCAAATTTGGTTCATGTGGCCGACCCCTTATGGGATTAAGGCTTTTGAATGATTGATTCATGAAGTAGTAACCACTTCCACAGATGCTGCTAAAACCAAAAGGCACAATTAGGAGAACATTTCCGCTTTTTATTAGTCCCAACAGCACAAAGTCTCAAAATCTTGGCGTCGTCATGATAAGCTTGATGAACAATTCGCTAAAGCTTGTACTTTCACAAGATAAAAATTATTTTGAAGATGACTCAATCAGGATATTTTAACCCAGAGAGCAGGAAGAAAAAGTGCAGTTTAACAGTTTGGTAAACATCTTAAACACACTTGCCTCAAGTACAACATCAGGATTTATGTCAGATAGAGTTTGGACAGCAGCATCAGTCTTCGTCATACCAACCTGTTAACATACAATACAACGCACAGCATGAGGAAAAAGGATTGCAACAAAGAATTTTGGTACATGGAACCAAAACAATGCCAGCTCTTCTAAAACATATCTACAGAGAAATTAAAAATATATGAAGTACACCTGCTCAGGACGGAAAAAAAGCCTATTCATATTAGCCAATTCGACTGTATCATAATCATAAAGCAAAAGTCGACCTATGCCACATCTAGTGAGCATCTCAGCTGCAACACTTCCAACTCCACCTATACCCTGTATTGATGATTCCAAACCATTAAAAACATTCAACCTTGTATTAATATTCAGTTAGTAGTTCAAAAGAGGTTGTAGAATCAGAAGAAATCAAGCAATTAAACCTCAAGAGATTGAATGGAAAGAATCAAACACTTACAACAACTGCAACAGAGAAATCCCGTATTCTTTCATAATTAGAGACGATGCCCATTCTCTGAAGTGCCATTAATCGACTGTAAGGATTACTATCTATAACCTCTGCACTCATATCCTGTTACAAACACATCTACCCATGAATCAATAAGTCACTGATAGTCTGATACAGTGTTAAAGTACTGCTGCAATTAAAATCAACAAACAGAAGGTGACCTTGACTTTGGAACGCCGAACTGGTGCTGACTCTGCAAGAGAAGCAAGATGCTCTACTCGAATTCGCAACTGCAAATCAGGAAAATTGGAAAAGGAAAATGAAAGATGTGATAAAAGCAGTAAGCAATGTTGTCTCTTGGCATCATAGCAACTATGTAAAATGTATCACTTCATAATTATAATTGAGTATTAGATAGTCTATGGCCCTATTCTTTTGAGCTGTTCTGCTCTACCCTCCCTGCCTATTGTGCTGAAATTTGCTCTGCCTACCCTGCAGTGTGTTGGAAGCCCTACTCTACTCTTCTTAAATCTGCTCTGCTCTGCTAACTCCTACTCTGCTAACCCCTATTATGCTCTGTCAGAAGCTCAAAAGAACAGGGCCTAAGTCTTCCCAAAAACAAATTCTACATGGAACCCTAGTACTTTTGTTAATTCTATTTGGTAGATAAAAAAGGAAAACCAATGGGATTGTACAATTTAATCTCATAGTTAAGGAGTTGTAGAACATAAGAATATAAATTATAAAATGGAAGGGAAAAAAAATAAAAAATAAAAAAAAGCTTTATGACCTACTACATCACTCACCGAGTCAACCCCCCCACCACCACCCCCATGGAGAAATTTTTGCCTGGTTAGTTTTCCTTCCCAAACAAAGAAGTAGCCCTTCAATATGTTAGCGGTCATATCACTCACTTCTCTCACACTTCCTTTTACTTCACTAATGAAGATGATACGCTATAACACATTGGATGGTCACTTGGACTCTATCTAATTTAGCTATTATGGAGCATCTCATACATCAAAGTCTAAAAGCCTTTTTATCAACTCCCCCTATAAGGCAATTAAAATGAAAAAGATCATGATAGTTTCCTTGTATTAAAACTCTTCTTCTTTAATAGCCAAGACAAAAGGGAAAGTGACATACAAAAATAAAAATAAAAAAAGAAGAGTGCACCATTAATAAGAATAATTGCCTAATTTTAGGAGAAATAACATACAGATGGAAAATTCTTAGGGTAAATGAAATATTTGGGGCATTTTTTCCATTCCAAAAAGCACCATAAACAAAACACGGATATTAAGAACTCCCACATCATAGTGACTTGTTACTTCCAACCAACAGTTATACTGTAAAATGGAACATTACTAGGTGATTATTTTTTGAAATATAAATTTTTTGGCCCATCATATAAAATGGGGAAAAAAAAAAAAGGATTAACATGTAGAATATCACAAGAAAAAAATTATTAGCAAGCATAATGGCAATACCAATATACCCCTCCAAATAGTCATTTAAAATCGAGCATCTCCTATCCCCTCCCCTTCCCACCTTCAACAAATGAAAAGGACATCAGAGTAATGGTACTCTACATTGAAAATAAGGAAAGCTAACACATTCCTTTCAAACAACAATTGCATCACTTATCATACTGGCCCTCCTCCCACCTTCAACAAACAAAGGTGGCATAGAACTAATGATACACCATTGTAAAAATAACTAACACAATCCTTACCCTAAAAAATAAAAATAAAAAATAAAAAATAAAAAACCACTCTTACTTCACTTGTTCACTACTATAGAGTTTGATTGGGCCTCGAGAAATCACATTTGATGATGACTGTGAGCCAAGGCACTTGTAATTCACTTTCCATAATCTAACCCTTCGTCTCAAAATTTACAACAGCCACCCAATTAAGTGGTTATAGCTCAAATTAGATAATGCAACGGCAATTGCATGTAATTATCAATCAAAAATAATTATGAACAAAAAAAATTAACAGTGGCTTTATATAATTTGACATTTCTCATTTTATAAACTGCAATTCTTAGTAGAAATCAATCAAAGAGCAGCAAGCAAATTTACAATAGCATTAAACACTGATAAAATCTAAGATCGGCAAAATCCGAGTTAACACATTACGCAATTAAGGTCAAAAATGCAAAATTCCAACAAAATATAGAATCAAACAACAATTGAAACAATAATGCAGTGTCCAGAAGACAGAAATTGGGTGAAATAATGAATGAATTCAGTAAAATTGAAGAAAAAAAAAAAGAGATTGAAGTAGAAGAAATTAACCTGATCCATTGAATTTTGGAGAGATGAATCAGAAGAAGATCGTTTGAGATCGTCGAGATCGTTGAGAATCGCTTTAAGCTCTGCTTCCATGATGCTGTATAACTGTTAAACTTTCCGACACTTTTTTTTTTTTTTTGGACGCCGGAAGTAGTAATGAGGAATTCTCAGTTGGGTTAATTCGTTGACTCAAAAGTCTTTTTTTGCCAACGGCCTTGTCTTATTTTGTTGATGTGTTTTAATGGAAAAACGTGTTCATCGAGGTATTGCCTATGGAGAAAGGCATTTTTTGTGTTTTTTTTTTTTTTTTTTTTTGAGGGAAGCCGAGCTCATGCATTAATTGATGGACAAACTGTTCGAGAGTACATAAGGGAAAATCATTGGTGGCAATGATTAATCCGAACTTGTTCAACACCAAAAGGCATTAGCTTAGCAAGGTGATGCGCTATAATCTTGTCATTCCTTTAACATAAGACTTAAAAAAAAAAAAAAAAAAAAAAAGACGTAAAAAGACTACACAAAACAGAATATCATCTTAAACACCATCAAAGTCTGACAAATAAATTGAAGTCTTCGGGAGCCGGTTGATGAGGATTTGGCTACCCGATTCAAAGATGACTTTATCATAGCCATACTTCCTTGCGAGTTTCACAGCCAAATGAAGTACTTTCCCTTCTACCACCTCCGGGGTCCACCAAGCTCGAACTCTACGTGTTGCTGCAAACAACACTCTCCCTTCGCAGCCACGGGGCACCACCCCCAAACCAACCCACCCCTCATCACACAAAGAAGCATCGGAGTTAAGCTTGATTATTACTCTCTCCGTTTAATTTTAATTTTAAGTCAAAGGTTATATGCAAATGGGAAACTAAATAGGAAGTCTTAATTTGAATATGTTGATTACACTAGCACCTTGATGGATGAGGTATTAATTAATTACTCTAGTTAATTTTCATTCTTTCTCTAATTAAGCTTCATAATCTTGTGTTATGTTTGTATGCAATGGAAAACAGCATATTTTGATAACGGAAATCAATCCAAAATATGAAGCTCATAATCTGAATGTTGCACTAAGAGATGTCACGAGATGACTCGATAATTTGGCTGAATTTGTGTAATGTTTCTCTCATTAATTTTATTATATAATTATCTCTTCTTTCATTACTAAATATTTCTTACTAATTATTTCAGCCTAATAATTTATTATTCTGCTTTGAATTGATGCAGACAAGAACTAAATGACAATATGAATTTTGATTTTCATATTGACCCAGAAATTGCAAGAACTATGAGGTTTATTAATACTACACTTGATAGTTCCAGGTGATTAATTAGTCTTACTCACCCTCATTTTTTTTTCAATTTGATAGAGTTGATATTGTATTTGATCTATCGTAAATTAAAAAAAATATAGCTTACATATATTGATATACAATAACAATGTTTAAAGGATTATTAGTTCTAACATGATCAAATTGAAGTCTATTATACACAAGATTTAATTTCAAGTCTCGTGCGTGTCATTACACAAGTTAGAGTTTGTCAAGAAGGTCAATAATTACGCGGGGGCAAAGAAAGTAAACTTGTACACAAATTGTACTACTTACTTAGTTGTCAAATAATGGAAATAGAATTAACAAATAAGTGATTAGTATAAACTAAGAAATTGCTAGTGATTAATTTTCTTCTTGTTCTGAATTAACAAATAAGTGAGCAATTTACATACAAAATGCTACGGAGCAGTTGATAATTATTGAATAACTCCTCAAAGTAATTGTTTGTTTAAATTTATAAGGAAGTCTTGTACTGATTTTGGTCTTTATATTCGGTCATTATTTCACGACTCCAATTTTGCACACCAAACTTGCACGGGAGTTTGAAAACAAGAACTTGATGCAGTTGAGAAATGGAGTTAGTAAAATTAAGATTGATGGTAAGATAGTGAAAACCTTGTTTAGAAGAGGCATGGCTCTTGAAAATCTAGGGATTTGGATGGATCATATGAGGTTTTAATTAAAGCAAAGGAGTTGGAACTAATGAACAAAGCAATAGCCAAGGAGATATCAGATTTGAAGAGCACATCCGTGCAATAAAGTTAGAGTGTGTTGCCAGACTTAACAAGAGTAGTAGCTACTATGAAGGATATGTATGGTTCAAGGGAAGAATATTATTGAGACATTTGTTGTCAAGCCGGAAGCATGAATGCATGTCTAAATGAAAGTGAGGAGTTATGTAAGGAAAATAGAGATCCCATGGAAAATAGAAATCAAGGTGTTATTCAAGTTTTAGCCCTCTAAAAGTACATTAAGGTGGCTTATAATCAAAGAAAGTCATCTTCATGCTTGAGAATTGTCTGTGCAGTTTAGATAGGTTGAGGAAAGAAAAAGAGTTGTGACTCTATCAACCAATATCAATGTTGAAGGTGTGTATCATGGTGGAGACCCCCACAACATATTTTGAGGGAAGTAGTGGTTTCTAACTCAATAACCACTTTGAGTGAAATCGAAGATGATATCAATCCAAAGGACGTCATCTTTTGTAATTGAAAATAAAATTGTCTTTGTTGATGCGGGAACCGAACATGTTCATCCATCGCAAGAAGCTTCCTAGTTCCTACACAAGGATGAGTTTCAAGTCCGTGGTCTTGATGTGAAGGTTAGTAGTTCGCCTGTTCCTAGGAAAGTTAGCGTTCATCCTTCGTTCGAGTTCAAGAGCAAGTCTAGGAAGATATGCTTTACGGAAACCATGGTCAACATATCCGGTCTTTACAAAAGGAGAATTAGAGAAAAGGTTCGAAAACAGAGCATGAACTCACATGCCAACTACGTCTATCCTATTATTAGATCCAGTTTTCATGCAAGTATGAAAAGGAAGGGTGATACGTTAGTGAATCTCTCCGGCCCACCGAGGAAGAAACTTTATAATAGTATGTGTGTTTGTATTTCTAATTTTAAGTGTCACTGTAATAGTTCTAAGGCTACTCAAAATCTAGCAACTATCGCTAGAAAAAAAAAAAAAAAAAAAAAAAAAAAGAGAGAGAGAGAGAGAGAGAGAAAGAAACAACAAGAAAAGGAAAGGAAAGCAACTGAATGGTTTGTTCCTTTCATGTATCCTTCTGACCTTCTCATTTGTCTTTCAACTCTACCATTGTTGCACTAATTTGCAGATTTTGAGCTTGTGGTTGTATGTTCAACATAGATAGAAGTGGAGAAACGCTATTTTTAAAAGAAATTGAAGCTATGTATATAGTTTAATATGAACTCTTAGCTTATCATAGCATAATCTATTAATCTAGCACGTAAATGAGTATCACACTCAAAAATTGTACATTATCTTGAAAGTCTTTATAGTACCCGTCATTAATCCCATAATTCTGCTCTGGATGTTGGCTAATTTGCAGTGGGAGATAACATCATGATTGGAATGACATTAATCCGGCCTTTTATAGATATTTGAAACCAGAAAATTAAGATGATTATGTAGCAACCAATACTCATGCAACAATACAATTAAAGCTAAAAACGGTGTTGCAGCTCGCAACGTCGTCAATGCAGAAGAATTTTGGTGTTGGAAAAACGATAACATTGTAGGTGGAAGATAAAAGGTTTTTTTTTTAAAAAAAAAACCCTAAAATCAGTTTATACTTCTGAATATGAAGTATTTTCTACCACAAACACCCAACTGTGAGACAAATGGGGTTCCAGAAAAGTTTTCAAGAGGATAGTCAGGCATGTGTGTGCTCGAATTCAGTTTTCAATTTGCAAATGCCTCACAAGCCAACCAAACCCTTCAGATTGCAGAAGAGTTTGTACTACTGTAACGTTTATGAAAGTGATAGGACCTAACAGCTACTGTAACTTTTATAAAAAAGATAGGAGCCAACAAAGGGCATCAGAATTTTTGCTATTGAAAAATGCAGGGATAAACAGTGTTAATGGAGCTCAAACACGCTTACAAAAGATGTTCTTTCAGTGTGAAAGATATTAGAGTAATATGCATTCAGAAAGGCATGTATACCAGATTACCAGCACCGTCAAGAGGAAACTTTTTAAAGCAGGTGAGATGGAGGTTTTTCAATGGAAGATCGGCTTTTGTAATTTCACCAGCATCATCTAGAACTTCAACTTTGAAAAAGTGGCCATATTTCTTTGTTTATCAAGTCTGCAATGCTTCTCAGAATTACCTAATACCTAGGGTGTGAAATCAAACCCGGGATGTCTGCTTCAGATAATTATGAAGCAAATGCAGCTCTTCCTCAGTGGATGATGATTTAAATAAAAGAACCATAAGCTGGACTATTGCTCTTAGGATCTTGCTAATGAACTGCATGTGTTTCACACAATTAGATTGCTTTTCTAAGTTTTGTGGAATTTTATAAATATATGTTGCCCAATCAATCTTGCAGCACCTTCAGCTTGAGATGTGCTGTGACACTTGGAGATTATTCAATTACACCATTGTAACATCATGACCTAAGTTGATAGCCGACTGAGGTAAACAATGTACAACATGCTTGATTAAAATGAAGACTCTTGTAAACTGTAAATGACGGAGTCAAAAGAACATAAAGCAAACTCAGAATCCATGTTAACAATAAAGGCAAATTCAGTCACTGGAAGACCTGGAACTAAACTAGCCTTCATAAGAACTCAAGATAAAACAACGTGCTTTCAAGAAGTTCATACAGTAGATAAATTTAAATTTCGTTACAAAAATGCCTAAACCAAAACCACAGAAAATTCAATTTCATCAGTTTGTCAAAAAGATGGCAGTAGGATTACCAGGAGATGGAGGATTTTGTTTTAGCACTGATGCAAGAGGTCCAGCCTTGGCACAAGCATCCTCATCTTGATATGACAAAATCTCCACCTGTTCGAGAGCAAGCTGCCTCTTGATCAAAGATAAATTCTCTGAAAGGACCTTCATCTCACCAAAAGGAAGCTTCAACTCCAAGGCTTGGGGTCCTAGAGCAAGAGTTTCATCCTTCTTGAACCTCAAGAATGGCATGCATTGCTTCTGGATTTGTTTGAAATTGGAAGCCTTCCCAATCTCACTCGTCTGCAGTGCTGCCATAATTTCACTGTCTGGAGCAAAAGTACAAGTTCTTGAGTCAAATTTGCTCTGAAGTATTTTCAAGCACTCTTCCTTCCAGCCATCATATGTTTCGTTTACATAGATCAAACCAGTCAATTGCTTGTCTTCTGTAAGCTGTTGAACAGGGGCTCCTTTCTTGCCAGCCTTCTTTGAACCCATAATTTGCTTCTGGAGGAGTTTCCTCATTAGCACTATCGAATCCTGCAAATATTTGTTGGCACTCTTAAGGGCTAAATCAGGTGCCTCTGCAGCAGGCCAGCCAGCTTTTATTACAAAGCCTTCCTTCTTCAAAAGCTCTCTCCAAACATACTCTCCATAATGTGGGCAGATAGGGGTAACAAGTCGTGTCTGAATATCCATAAAACGCTGCACCAAAACCCTGTTCATGCCACCAGCCCCACAAGAGAACCTATATTCATCTCTAGCAGCTTGCAAGTCGTAAAACCCAGTCTTAAGAGCATCTCGGAACATATAGTTTTGGTAGTTTTGCTCAGTCAGCTTTATTGCGAGATTAATCTCATTTTCAAACACCCGATCAGCATAAGAAGAAGGCTCACCCGATCTAAGAGCTGCATCAGCAGCAAGAATTTCTTCCATCCATGAGATCTCTTTTGTGAGACGCAAAATCGCTGCATTTGCAGTTTCAAATACAAAATTTGCATCATCAACACCATCACCAGCATCAGCAAGAGCAAAACGTGTGGCATCTGCAGAGAATTCTTCAATGGCCTGGCGCAAAGTCCTGAAGTTCCCAGTGGACTTGGACATCTTCTCAGCATTTAATAAAATGTGTCCATTGCATCTGAACCCACGAGGCCAGTGGCGC